AAATGACGGCAGACATAACTCGGGGGAGAAGAATTGTTTAATAAATTATGTTACTTTTTTGTTTTCTTTGCGCACAAAAAGTACTCTCATAGCTTCGCAAAACTGAAGTTGAGCCACTGATGTCACATGGACTGTTTTACCGATGTCCTTGCTACTTTTCTGGACTTGGGAACATTTCAGGTGCGTTGCTGTCTATGCAGGGTCAGACAGCTCTCAGATTCCATCAAAAATATCTTAATTTGTGTTCTGAAGATGAACGAAGTTCTTACGGGTTTGAAACGACATGAGGGTGAGTAATTAATGACAGAATTTTCATTTTTGGGTGAACTATCCCTTTAAGTAATAAATGGAAAGCAAGTTAAATTGAAATATTTTTATTTTCTTGCTGATCCGAAAAATGATCCAAACCGTGGGTCAAAAACCGTAATGTGATCCGAACCGTGAGATTTGTGATCCGTTGAACCACTAGAAGAGATTACGGTTTATAAAGTTTTATATGGATATTCTTCTTTCATTCACTTCAGAAGGCCTTTATTAACCCCCCGGAGCCATGTGAAGCACTTTTTATGATAGATAGATGCACTTTATTTTTCTTCAAAATCTTGACCCCCATTCACTGCCATTATAAAGCTTGGAAGAGCCAGGACAATTTTTTTAATATAACTCTGATTGTATTCGTCTGAAAGAAGAATGTCATATACACCTAGGATGGCTTGAGGGTAAGTAAATCATGGGGTAATTTTCATTTTTGGGTGAACTATCCCTTTAATATGTTACCAAAAATAGTATTAAGTATTTTTGTTTCCTATATTATTATGAATTAATTCCTATATGCAACATTATATATAAAAAAAAATTACAACTGAAAACAAGAAATACACATGAAATACGCATTTATTAAAAAGTTACACAAATCCACATACTAAAACAGAGCACACACATACACACCAAAGCTCTCACACACAGGCTTCAGCTCTCTCCATTACCTTCGGTTATATTACGGGAGGCCACGGCAAGTGAAAAAGACCAGAGGAGTAGCGACAGAATAAACGAGAGGGCCATTCTTCCACCTGCAGAATGAGAGAAAGAGAGAGGCATTATCAGAGGAGGAATGGCTGAGTGTGAAAACAGAGGGTGGACAGTGATTGTTCAGGGGTGTGAGATGAGTGTGAGAGGGGTTCCTGAAGGACGAGAGGAAACACAGTAGGAGAAAGGAAACTGGTGTAGGTTGAGAAAAGGAGGCATGGGGCGAGGAGAGAAACAGAAGGGCGGCGAGGAACAGATCAGAAACGGCACTTGCGGACAGACGGCCCTTTTGAAATCTCTGAACAGCTGATCTCCTTTTCTAGATTCACAGTTAGTCTACCACGACTGTACAAATGAGTCACTCACAGCAGGGTGCCTTCCCTTACTCAGATCCTACAGATCTGCTTAATATCTGCATCAAGGTGCGAGCACTGCCCAGCCTTCCCCATCAATATTCCCTTTCCGCCTAGCTGCTTTCTGACTCAGACACGCCAACAAGCATCACAGCTTGTGTAGATGGGGGCGGGCAAGATGAACGATAACTGTTGTTTCAGTCAGTGGGTATTGTGTATTTATTGGTGTTTTTGATGACAATGGTCCCATTTTACTTGTAGCAGCATATGTATAGCAACTGAGATACATATAAAGCATACACTTAAGCCTTGAATTTAATTAGCTGAGCGGCTTTTCTAAAATTATAACATATTTTAAATGCACTCTACATTAGTGACAGAGATTTTTTCGCGATTCTTTCGATATATTACACTTTTATAGCAGAAGAAGGCAATTGACTCAACCAATTCATTCAACAATACTCGTTCAGGACAGGAGTTATTGAATGATTGACTCAAATGATTAATCCAATAACACAGATTCATTCAGGAATGAAACAAGGGACTGTCCTGATGAGTGAGTCATTCAATTATTGACTCAACCAATTCCTTCAACAACACTGATTCATTCAGGAACAAAAGAAGCAAATGTCTTTATTAATAAGTTACTGAATTATTAACTCAACTGATTCATTTAGCAACACTAATTCATTCAGGAATGAAACAGATGACTGTCTTTATGACTAAGTCAGTGTATCTTTCACTTAATCAATTTGTTTAAAATACTGATAGAAACAAGCAACTATCTTTACGAGTAAGTTATTGAATGTTTGACTCAACTGACTCATTTAACAACACTGATTTAATGAAACAAGAATTAAACAAGTGACTGTCTTTATGAGTGAGTCAATGAATCATTCACTTAATTGATTTGTTCAAAAACACAGATTCATTCAGGAATGAAACAAGCGACTGCCTTTATGAGTGAGTCAATTCACTCATTCACTCAAGTGACTCAAAAACCACTCTGATTCATTCAGGAACAAAAACCCCACTGCTGTGCTCGGATATGCATGACGGTTTATTCAGATTTCCATTCAACAAAAATAGACAAAATAACTAGACATACTGTGTATGAAATGTGGCTGAATTAAGAAAATCTTCCAGCAATGAAATTGTAATTTTTTGTTATTTTTGAGTAACTCATTAAAGCTGTTTTTTTTTCTTGCAGTTGGAGCTTGGCAAGTGTTCATTTTGAACCCTGTTGACAACATTAAAAGGAACATTGAAAGCAAGATGTAATAGCAGGGCATGTTCATAAGCCCCTATAATGAGTGTAGAATTGCAGGGAAGCGAAAGAGAAACGTGCTTCAAAGAGCTGAAAAACCACAGAGAGACAAATCTGGGGCGTACAGCACGTAAACCACCGGCTTCGTATGAGGAACTGGGGCCAACGCGCACACACATGCTCACATTCACTAACACACAATCTGATTAGACAGCCAACAATCAACTAGGACTAATCTACATAAATTAATTTCACCCAAATGATATGCTAATTTGAAATACAGGTAGCAAAGCAGGAAGACTCGACTCCACCAGAACGCTTTACACTTCCTGCGCTGTAATCACAATGGAAGCAATTTCTAGAGATTATTCACGGCTTCTAACTTTTCTCAAAGGAGTATGAACGAGAATATGAGCCATAACACATTTCATCCCACACTATAAAAGCAGACGAGGCTTTCCGTCGTGGGAGCATAAAGACGGTCTTCGCATGAAAGGCAGGTTAGGATTAACTTTAGTGGGTTTAGGCAGCTCGAAAGATTTTCATGAATGCAATGAACATATGGAGTTGCTGTACAGCCTTGACAGAAACAAAAAACAGAGAACGAGGGAGAGAAAGAGAGCTAGTGTGCTGCCTTGCTGTCTACTGCCCACATTGGCAGCTGTCTTCTGAGGGGCTGTGCACACAGGACATGTTCTTGCGTTTTGTCTGCACTAATTGTTGGTCTATAGGAAATATGGAATTGGCAGGCATCTTTGTCCGTTACAGCATGTCTCACACCACAAGCGTGTAATTTTTAAGATGTCAAGATAAAATAGTTTACACCATGCAGCACTGTAAATCAATGTCGGTTTTAAAACAATGGCCCAATCGAATGAACATAAATACTGCTTACGCATAAGCAAATGGAGTGTTTTTAGGGTAGTTGATGCATGTCCATGAGGTTTTTTAATTAATATCAGTATTTTAGTTTAAAACATAAAAAGTGTATGGAAAAGTATGTTTAAGTAGCCATGTATTATAATTTTTTAAATACTTCTTGCCTTTAATGGTTTCATTTTAAATGGTCCCACAGTGTGGCAAATGAACATTTTAAAAGTACAAATATTTCATGTAGTCTTTCAAATTATATCAGCTCATTAAAACTGCACACATAATAATTAGCAAAATGCCAGAACAACAAATTCCCAAAAGTATTTGATGTCAAGTAGGCTACCCATTAGCAAAGGTGTATGGGAGTTAATGCTGCTATAAAAGTGCCTTCTGTTCAATTCTGTCACGCTCCGTCTAGCTGTTTTTAATGCTAGGATGTGTCCTGTGTGAATTGGCCCTATAAGGCATCATCCTAATAGAAATGTAACCACATAAGCGACTGATTTAGAACGCTCTACATAAACCTGTGTGACACACACCATATAAAGAATTCCTCACGTGAAGCACACGAGAGACTTTAAGAGAGTGAGGTTAGCATGTTGCTAAGCTAACAACGTGATACTCTTATAAGCATTAAAAGCACACAAAATATAAGGTAGCCTGAAAGAGTACACTTTTGATTTTATTTAACTTTTTTTTTAATCAATACTATGCAATACTGAATGAAATATAGGTATTTATTTCTTGACTCATTCACCATTTTTGTTTTCTCACAGAGTTTGTCACAATGCATTCTGAAATTGCTTTTTAAGGGAAGGATACATGTAATTCTGTTTTAGAATTTGCCCAAAGTGAGGCATAATATTGCTGCCTACATTTTGGAACAATCATCATGCAAGCTTGCTAGGTTTTGGACAGCTATTGGCACAGAGGGGCACTGCTAGCTATAGTGAAGAGGAGACTGCAACTGCTGCTTTGTTATGTGAAAATGAAGCTAATGAAATGCGCTTGCAGTGCAGGGTGAATGTACACACACACACAAACACACACAGTCTGACAGTGGCATGAAGACAGGGCTCCACCTGAGGCGTAAAACTGACCGCTTGGTAGCAAGCTCTTTCTCATCTATCTATCTCCTCTTTCTAACATGTTCTCTCTCTCTGGCTTGCTTTTTTTATAGCCCAGCATTGTTTCTTTTATTGCGTCCTTCCAAAATCACTGCTGTCTTTTTCCTTCCTCCTTATTCAGTCTTCTTTTATCTCTCTACAGAGTAATTACTCTCAATCTTTCCCCCCCTCCATCTTTCTAACTGGCTTGTCTCATGAAAACAACAAATCTTTCACTCAAACAGTTTCTCACATCATACACTCATTATAGTGTATATAGTGCAGCCTGATTGCAATGCACAACGCTGAAATCACAGCCATAACCCTACACATTTTCGATTTTCACCACCTTATAAACACCTACATTTTCAAGACTGGGTAGCCCAAAGGTAGCATTTTACGTTTCGGTCATTGTGAAAGACATAACGTTTGCCTACTAATCTAAAACTGGGGTGGAAACGTCCTCCTGCTTTGATTATGGTGGATACAGCCCTGGTGCACACACATTCATGCACATTCTCTTGCTAAATGAAAGGTGACAATCTCTATATGGACACTGAAAGCAAAGCACGTCTCTTTTTTTGACTGGAAACCAAAGCTGAAAACTGCCTACTTCTGTTGCCAGGCAACCATTCATGTTCCCTCCTTCCGTTTGCTCTTTGACTGTTGTCAGACTTTTTTGATGTTTTAACCCCCGGTGACACGCTGTCTCCCCCACGCCTCTGTAAACGAACCCTCTCACCCATCTGACTGCAGAGGTGATGAGTGAACTCGAAGGTTTCGCCGCAGTGTCTCATCAGCGCCTCATCTAGCGTGAATTTGTGGATTAGCTGTTTGCGCCTGTGCAGCTAATATTACCCACCATATAAATAGTATAAACATGTAAATTAGCATGAAATGTTGGACTTAAAAAGGGCAGGGCTTACACTGTCAGAACAAATGGCCAAAATGTTACATTTTTGGGTATATAGCAGCTTATCACTGGGCCAGTACCATTAAAAGGATAACTTTGTACCTTATCTACCATTTACAGGTGCATAGTAGTACCTTAGAGTAATAAGCATACTTAAAGTGATAGTTCACCCATAGCCATTGACTTCTATAGTACGAAAAAAAAAACATGAAAGTCAATGGCTAACGTCAACTGTTTGGTTATCAACATTCTTCAAAATATCTTCTTTTATGTTCAGCAGAAGTAAGACATTCATACAGGCTTTGAACAACTTGGGGTGCGTAAATGATAACAGATTTGGTGAACTATCCCTTTAAGGTACTATTATGAACATTTTAGGGATAAATAAGGTACAACGTTGTCCTTCTAAGGGTGCTGCCCCAATGATAAGCTGTTGTACTTCTAAAGGTACAATTTACGCAAATTTTTTCTGAGAGTGTAGCAGCATTGACACTGGCTCTAATAAAGCAGTATGATTGGATTAAAGTAGATT